CATGACCACCGCTTCCGCTCCCACCTTGACCAGGTGGTCCGCCTTGCCCACCACCTCCCCCGGGAGGAGGAGGAGGGGGCGGTCCAGCTTGAGCGCGTTCATGCCGAATATTGCAGCGCGCACATCGCTCAAGGCCGTCATTTCCAAAGTAACTGTGATTCTCACAGACGTGGGTCCCACAATCCGTGCAGAAATACATGGAGACCTCCTGAGCATTCTTGCGACATGCCCAGCACTTCATTTTCAAAAACTGACAATTGCTACAGTCACCATCATCGCCCCGGCAAAGCCTGCAAAACTCACGATTGCAAGTAACACACGAAAATTCAGCGTCCGGGTGCCTACGGTCGTTGGGGTCATCGAGGGCACAAATCTTTGGCGCACCTGGGCCACCGGCACCGGGAGCGCCTCTTGTGGCCGGTGCCGAGGCCTGTCCACGATCAGATGGAGCTCCAGGGGTCCTCCACCTCTCGCCGGGACTCGGGACGTCGGCGCTAGCTCTGCTCCCAGGAGTCCTCCAGTCATCGCCGGGACTCTGGATATCGGCATGGGCCCTAATATCCCTATTATCTCCTGGATGACGCTCTGGGTTCGGAGAGACGTCCCCGCTATCGCGGATCGGTCTATCCAGGTTCGGAGAGATGCTCCCGCTATCGCGGATTGGCCATCCCTCGCACGCCCTGGCGGTGAATGCGACCTGTCAGGCAATCCCCGAGCCCTCCTGCTCCTGCTGTCACCCCTCTCCCTATCGGGATAAATGGGATGCCTGCCTGCACGAGAAGGATCGACCCTACCGGGCACATCCGGCAAAGTGTGATCGACCAAATCGACACCTCCGCCCGGCCTCACCGGAAGGCCAGTACCCCGGCCATTACCTTCTCCGGGATTCTGTGTCCTTGCCCCGCGAAAGCGTCGTATCCGACGTTCCGTCTCTCTCTAGGCTGTGGGAGATTCGCCTGATTGTCCTGGGCACCCTGAATAATGACAGCAGCTTCATCAACATGACCTTCGATTTCATAGAGCTGAGCCATGATCCTGTTGTTCATTCCATTAAGAGTACGCATGTTACTCTCAACAGTGCTGATCCTCCGCATAGCGCCCTCAAGCGTACCCCTGAATGAGTCAATCTCACGCCTAACGGCAGACCGTGCTTGATCACTATTCGCAGGGAGACTGCGGATCTGTCTTCTGATGTCATCAAGAACTTGATTCAGAATTCCCGAACTCGCCTCGTACTGCTCAACACGGGATTTCAAGGTTTCAAACCTTGCAAGGATATCGTCATGGTCCCCATGGTGGCGTTGAGCTCCACGGGATAGATCCTGGATCTTTCGATTGACTTCGTCAATTGCTTCATGCCAGTCCTGCGGGGATACGGGCCCTGATGATCTATCGATCGCCTGTGAACCCCTTCCACTTTGCAGCCTCGACATCCGATTAGCGAGAAGGGTTTGCTCTTCATTGATGCCACCAATAGATTCGGAGGCCCACTTAGCAAACTTCTCGTGTTCGAGGAGAGCCTTCTCGAGCTTCAGGTTTAACTCCCTGAAATTCGCGTTCACCACACTGCTACTGGCCCTATCGGACGGTTGCGCGACAGGATTCAAATTCCATTCACCTGCCGGCGTCCGCATCCCGACGGTCTTCTCTACCGAGAACATCCGTTTCTCGAGCTTTTCCAAGTCCTTAAGGATCTCATCCTCGGAAGCAGCATGGCTCCTGTGGACGGCCTCACGATTCTCTTGAATCACCTGACGAAGCCGATCAGTCGCGGCCTCATTGTCCTTAACAGATTCGTGAACCTCGTGGGAAAGTAGATTAATCCTCTGCTCCACGACTTCAGCCTGTTCATCGATGGCTTGCCTCACAATGGCTTTGCTGTCGGGAATAACTTCCCTTGCAAACCGCTGAACTATCATTCGCATCCTCCCGGCATCAGATTGAGTCGCAACCTCAGCTGCCAGGCGATCGACCTTGTCCTTCGTCTGTTGACTCTCGTCGCTCCATTCCCTTCGCATGGAACTCACTTGACCATTCAGTAACCTGATTTGGTCGGCAAAAATATGGAACGCCTTCGCGACTGAGCCAGAAACCTCACCCCTCTCGAGCATCTCCTGGATGTGCAAATCAAACACCTCCTTTGCCCTAGCGTCACCTGATTCGCCGGAAGACTGGGATCTGAGGGCGGGAGGAGTCGATATCTCGATCCTCTCAGGAGCCCCACTAGCCCCGGCATGTCTTCTGGGGTCATCTACGGGACAATCATCAATCCTGGATGGTCTACTCGCGGTAGATCCCCTTCTCCGGCTATCGCCAGATCGGGGATCAATGTTGGATGCACGTGACTCGGGGGTGGAGTGAATGTGAACATCAGCAGGATCGGGCATCTCCTCATCCTGCAGAGTCAAGCCCATTGGTGAGGGGCTAGCCCTCCTCGCCTTCGACCTATCGGTCTCAATGGCGAGAGGTGACGGCCTCTTCGCAGAAACACTACGTTCCCTGGCGGTCGAGCCCCATTGAGGTGTGAACTCGTTGCTAGACCTAAGTGTTTCAAGGTCACTAGTATCTCGCCCTAACGGGCTAGCGATCGACGGACGATCCTCGATTCCGAGTGCATCGGCAAGCCGGCCATCTCTTGCACCTTTCCCAACGACATCGGCAGCCCGCTCAGTGATCCTCGGCGAACCAGTAGCCCGGTTCGAGTTCACGTCTCTCTGATTCAACGGACCTCCAAAGGTAATGTTGGGAAAAGGGGGAACATTCGGGGTATCACCAATCGCCGGAGGACCTATCGGTCCCTCACGGTCATGGATGGCCTCCAATCCCCGAAGAACTTCCCGACTATCCCTGGCCCTCTCTCTCTCGCTTCGGACGTCCCTGTCAACACGAAGGTCCCTGGCGGCTCCACGAGAGAGGCTCCTGGGCCTCGCAGCACCACGGATCCTAGCACTTCGGCGTGATTGGTCCTCCTCCTCATCACGGCGATCCGCAAATGCGGCATACTCGTCATCATCACCGACCTCAAACTTGGCAGCGGCAGGGCTAGTCCTTGCAGCCGCACGGTTGCCTGCATTTCGGCGCGAATGGCCCTCCTCCTCATCCGCAAAATTGTAATCTTCGTCATCATAAGACTCAGATTTGGCAGTAATAGGGTTGGGCCTACTGGCATCAGATCCCTGCTTTGAGCTACTGCCCCATCCTGCGGTCGATTTCAACAGATCATCGTATCCGAAGTCTGAGAACTTCCGCTCCTCGTGCTCATCAAACTGACCTGGATTCTGAGAACCAGTGGATCGGCCCGGGATACCTCCCGGAGCCAGAACCATAGTCCCTGGTCCCTGCGGCCTATTCTCAAACTCATCCGAGACCTGCGACTCACCTGGAACAAGAGATCTTGGAGGTCGAGCCGGCATGGCCTCCGGGTCATCCGAATGAGGGCGGGCCATGTCCATCGCCATGCTGATGAAGTCAAAATGTCCACGCCTGTGACCTGATTCAGAGCCACTCCTATCGGAGTAAACCCTTCGTGTCTGCTCGTCATCAGTGGCCTGGCGGAAAATACGATCGTCTCCATCGTCGGCGTACCTGCCACGGCTCCTGGGTGTATCCCTACCGGGATCTTCACCCCTGCGGTCCTGACCTGTCGAACCTGCTTCGAAATCCTCGTAGTCATAGTCCGGTAGGTCCTCACCTGAGCGGAGGCCACCTAGGATGGCCTCCTCATCCACGACGCTCCTTCGAGATCGTGGGGTCGACATAGAGCTTGTAGTTGATGGTCTCAAGCGCGTAGGAAAGTCCTACGGCTGATAACCTGTGATTCGGGCACGAGCCTGTGCCCAGGCAATGGGTAAGTTGGGGTAAACAAGCCACAAAAGAAAGGTTCCCCAAAAGCAAACCAATCCCCGGTCCCAAAGATCAGGGTTTCCCACACACCAGAGAACAACAACCAAAAGGGAAACAAACCAAACAAGAAAAGGGTTAACCCGCAACCTTGGTCGACAACAGGCCGCACGACTGGTCCCTACCAACCTGGCGGCGGCCCGAGGTCTCTTTCTCCCCCGAGATGCCGTCGGTCGACGCAGGGGTTCGGCGACGCCCATTCGAGGCGCGACGGAACCCAAAACTTGAGCCAAAACACCACAGGTCGGTCACTAACGCGACGTCCCTGATGATGATATTAACCATGGCTAATCACATATTTAACATTCCGAGATAGTCACATCGTACCTTAGCACAGTAGAAGGGCATGTCATGTGAGTCACTGAAATAGCAACACTCAGGCTTTCCAAAACAGACAAGACAAGGAAGTGCCAAGTTGCAAAACATGATTGAAGCTGACTGATTAAAAACAAGAGTACAAGAAACTCAATGATCGTTAGCGATTGGAACAATAATGATGACAATCAATGGGAAACGAACTGAAAAGGGGGAGTGCGCAAACGGGACAAAGGTGTGCACAAACCAGAACCAAGAGGGGACAAATTCGAACAGGCAAACCACAACAGGAGGTTCGCAAACCGGAACAGGGGGTGACGGAAAAAGATGGGCGCGCAACATGGTCCGAAACAAAAATTGCAAAGCAGGCATCTTTTCGTTTGATGCAAAGAACCTGGTGTTTATTCCCATAGTGGACATCGGGGAAATATGATTGATCCCCCTGGAATTTTGTGAGTCCCCTAAAGTCTCTCCCGCCTTGACGAAAACCTCTTGATTATCTTGACCAAACCTCGTATGGATTCTTATGCGACTTCGAAGGCCAAAATACTGTCCTCCCGGTTTCCAATTGAACCAAGCAACTAGTTTCCCTTTAAACCCAAGCCCAACAGGGGCCTCCCAAAAACAAGCGCACAACAACGAGTCTGGCTCAGTTCAAGGAGGTTTCCCTCTAAAACAAAACAAAAAAGCCCAAAACCCGCCCCGCCCAAAAGCCGAAACCGACCAAAAGCCGAAACCGACCAAAAGCCGAAACCGACCAAAAGCCGAAACCGATCCCCGCGGTCCTGCCAGGCCTGGCCTTGCCAGTGCTGCTGCAGCGCCAGCAGGGACGAGGCCGCGGCCCCGAGGATCGGCTTCTGAACCCACCCGGGGGATGGGAGGGGAGGGGGGGTGGGGGGGCAAAAAGAAAAAAAAATGGGGGGGGGGGGGGGGGGTAAACCAAAAAAACGTGGATAGGGGGGGGGGCAAAAACTTTGGGGAGGGGGGGGGGGGGGTACAACAAACACAGGTCCCCCAAAAAAAGCAAAAAAACTCGCGGGGGGGGGGGGGGGGGGAACCAAAAAAAAAACGGGGGATGGGGCGGGGAACCCCAAAAGGTTCTTCGGCCTTTAAGTTTTTGTTGGGGGTATGGCCCTGACGGTGCCGCTTTGGTTCAGGGAAACCCCAAAGGAACGGTTTAGGGAGGTTGCCCCCAAACGAAACCCGAAGTGGAAACCAGGTTTTCTCAAGCCCGAGCACTCGATTCCTCAGCTTCCGGCCGGCGGTTTCTTGAAAACTGCCAGAGACTGCTGGAACATCTGCCGTGTGGTTCCGTGCCTAACGAGGCACGGCAAAGTGGACAAGGAAACAGGGGCATTCTGTGGGGGTGGGTGGCCGGATGGGCTGGGTGAGTTCGTGTGGGTTTTGGGGGTGTGCCAAGCACAACCCCCCATTTGGAGGAGCTTTTTTCGCGAAGAACGAATCCCACAGGCAGCAGCCAGGCCGATCTTGGGCTCCAAACAATCCGCAGTCGCCCAAGATGCCGGGAAGCTTCTGCAAGATCTGTCCCAGCTCAGCCTTGCTTGTCAAACATTGGCTCTCATACCTGGGCTGCCCTCAGATCTGCGCAAAGTTTAACCGTGGGTCGCATAGAAACCCGTGGGCATCGCACAAGGATGCTCTGTTTCTGGGCTGTCCGTTTTCAGATCCCCTGCTAAAAGTGAATAACTCTTAGCAGGTTAAATGGAAACCCAACCACTAAACACTAAAAGGCTAAAAAGCTAAGGAACCGGATGGCTGGGAGCCAAGATACCAGACTCACCGCTGAACAACCCTGGTCGACCTGAGGCGCCGGCCAGCTTCTGCACTTCTTGATGAGTAACTTGCTCGTCCGGGGTGGAGAAACCTTGCCATGTCAAATGTGCGCAATTCTGAGAACCGGTCATCGCAACCGAATACTGACTGTTAGGGACTCTGAGCGCAGGGATCCTTTTGCTTTTTTTTTGTTTTTCTTGAGAGCACTACTTCTGCAAGTGTTAACAGTCATGAAATTGAGAGGAGTATGGAAAGTACAAATGAATACAAGCAGGCAAAGTGGTTGAAGCTGGAGATGGAACTTGGAGTTGAGGCAAGATGTACCATCTCAAACAGTGGAAACCAAGACCATAAAATTCACATGTAGCGCGAACCCACAAAACAAAAACGAGAGTTGCCCTTGCATTCAGCCGGAATGTTGGTAGGACGCATGAGAGGCGCAAACAGCTTTAAACCATAACATGAGAACGAAAGTGGACAATGCCAAGGGGCATCCAAGCGCAAAACAGCAAAAAGTGTGAATTGTAAAATTGGTAAATCAAGAAACTTATGGGGAAGATGCATAATCTGGAGAATTGGGAAATCACCTAAAATCTCTCACGAGACCCTCACTCAAGCTAACACGTGGCGCGAAATCCACAACAATGACAAAATAACACCTGAGTTCCTCCTGGAAAAAAATGTCAGGCACACAAGGAGTGAAAAGCGCTTGGGTGTGGGGCGGAAGCTTGAAAATGTCAAGAGGGGTCCAACGACAACAGAGCTGAAAGCCGGTACATTTGGAGGGAACGCACATCATATCGAGGACTTCGGCCAAACTGTTGGTAGTATGAAAGGTGCAAGTTTTAAATGGAACTCAAGCAAAACAAGCGGGGTTGAGGATAAAAGTGTAACATGTCAACGGGCATCCAACAACAGCAGTTTTAAAGGTCAATAAATTTAGAGGGAAGCTGTAGCATCGCAAGAAATTGGAGACCGCAAAAAAGCCTACGAGACCCTCAAGCGGGAACCCCCACAAATACATAGTTCGCAAGGATGCCCCTTGTATTGGGCCAAACTGCTGGCAGGATTTGTGAGAATCAAAAAATGAGCTTGAAGCATGGGGATGAAACTTAACAAGGGGAATGTTCATCGAACGACACTGCCAAAATTGCAACATGTTACCATGGTGAAAGCCGAGAAAATCAGAGGGAAACAGGCACTGGGACATCACCAAAAGCACTCCGGAGCATCTGGGACACCATCGAAACACCAATGAAACACCGCGGCGCCATCCAAAATGCAAGCGGAACAGGGACAAAACCACAAAAACGACTGGGACACCAGGGACACTGCCTAACTGGATTATGACGACAAGACACCGCCAGCACCAAAGCACCACCGAGACATACAGGGACGCCAAAATACTATCAAAAACACCACCGACACACCTACTCGAGGTAGCCACCAAAGGTCTACCCTACCTTTCGTGAAAAGCACCAAAGCAGAAAATGCGGCGTGTGCCGAGAGTGCAATGCGAGTTCAGGGTGCTATTGGTTTCGCTGCGCCCTTTATGGATGCCCGGAGCCAAGATGTCCGTCGCTCAAGGTTGTGCATGGCTCCCATCTTGCCGTGGCTCTGAATCTGGATTTGAGGGGCACGTGTGGAACTGCGCATTCGGGAAGTACGCCTATCTGTGACATCGAGTTGAATTCGTGGAAGCGCATGTATACACCATGGCATGTGGAACGACCCATGTGACACGCCATTAAACCCAGGCCGTTTCTTTGAATTGCAATCCCCCTGGCTTTGCCTAGAAACGCCCATGGCTCGGCTTTCCGAGCCCCAGGCTCCAAAGTCTCGCGGAAGGGGACGCGCCGCTTCCCGCCCGGAGCACATCGCCGACGGAGCTCCAGACGGCCTCAAGGCCGGTTGCCGAGCTCAGGTGGTTTCCAAGGGATGCCTATTTTTTCGGCCCCCCAAAATGGTTGCTTCGGTGCTCCTGTTGGTTTGCCTTGTTGTTTATGCCACCAACAAAAGGGATAGCGTGAAACAAAGCCGCGACCAATCAGCTCCGAAGCAGTTTCCAGTTATCTGGATAGGTGTTTGACTAGAAAAACACAAACTATGGGGATGGGGGTTGCCCCTTCTCTTCAACCATCCTGCTTTCCAAAAGCCGGTCAGTCTCCGGTTCTTCGTTTGCGAAGGATCCACCTGGAGTTCTTGACGCGTCGTTCAAACGAAGCGCCTGCAGTTGGAGCACCTCCTGCTGGATGCACTTGTTGAAGGACAAGGGCCGCTCCCAGAGGAAAAGATCCTTGGTGCGGCCGCGGTCTCGCTTGGTGCTTCGAGCCAAACTTTCAAACTTTCATGGTCCGACATGAAAGGCAGGCATGTTCCAAAAACATATCACAGGACAACCCCCCCCCCCGCCACGGTCAATACGGCTTGTGGCCCCAACTGACACGGGAGTTCAGCCAACAAACCCAATTCGTCGATGATTGGTCAGCATGCCCCAAGCAACTTTGCCGTGGATGACAGTAAATGTGTGTGTGTGGTATTTATTGGTTCTGTGTTTGTGTTTGTGTTTCGTGTGTTTCTGTGTGCTTCTGTGTGTTTCTGTGTGCAAACCCTGCAGGAGGGGATCAGGGCAGAAAAATGTCACCAGGCCAGCCAAAGTTGTAGAGGTTACCCCATTCCCTGTTTCTGTGTTCCTGTGTCTTCTGTGTTCCTGTGTCTTCTGTGTTTCTGTGATTCTGTGTTTCTGTGATTCTGTATTTCTGTGTTTCTGTTTCTTCTGTGTTTCTGTGATTCTGTGTTTCTGTGTTTGCGTGTTTGAGTGCTTGCGTGGTTGTGTGTTCATGTGTTTGTGTGTGTTTGTGTGTTTGTGCGTTTATGTGATTCTGTGCTTATGTGTTTGTGTGTTTCTGTGTTTGTGTGTCTATATGTTTATGTGCTGTTGCATTTGCGTGGTTGCGTGTTTGTGTGTTTGTGTGTTTGTGTGACAAAACCAAACGAATACCCTCCGAAATCGCCTACCCTAGCGGCCGATTCGCAAAGGATCGCCGTGGCCTGAGCCTCCGGCGTGGCCGTCTGTTCCGTGGCCAAAAAAGCTGAGCAGCAGGGCGGAAGTGACCTCGCATCCCATCCGATCGTGAGACATTTGGGGTGAAAACCTGTGCTTTTTTGGTGCTAAATGTTGGCTTTGTTTTTGGTGCTTAATTTTTGGTGACCTCCCCTTGTGGTTTCATTTTAGCCCATAGCCATTTTGCCAACCCATGGAATCCCCCTGGCAGGGACGACAGCCAACCGGGGCCCGTCTCCTGTAGAAATTCCTGGCGCGTTTGCCTTGCCGGTTGGGACTCCTGCCTCCAAAATCTCATCTGAAGATGTCGGACTCTTTGATCCAACAGGCACAGGGTCCTGACATGCGTCACGAGCGCAAGACATGGATCAGGCTGGACACACCTTCAGAAGCCTCAATTCTGGGAAGAAAATGGCACGCAGTCCATGTCTAGAAACCAGCTGACAAGCGGCAGCCTGCAACCGCCTAGGTGTACCTTTCCATTTGGTTTTTAGAGGAACTGGGAGTTGTTTGGTCCCGCCAATCAGAACCTGCGCTTGGCTTTTTTTGTGATGCACTTGCCTGCAAAGAATGGGTCTAAAACAAGCGGGAAAAAATGATTGGGATCCCTCCCCCGCCCACCACGGCACCTGAGTAAGGTTTGACCATGTTCCGCGTACGCAGTGGCAACCCAGACCACAAACCCGTCCTACTAATCGGGGTGTTACCCACAAGAGGGGAGGATGCCCGCTAAAAGGGCACCCCCCCCCTGTCAACCAACCAGGGGGTTTATGAATCTGGGGTCAACATTAAGGAAACCCCTAGAAAACTACAAGGGATGGAACAACAAGGGGTCGTCCCCTCATTCCCCTTGTTTGATGGTTGATTTTACAGCTATTCGTCCGGGGTTCCCATTGGAACACTGGCATCGACTCGCGAGGGCTGGCCTTTGGCTCCTGCTGCTTTGCAGGTGAGGCCTCGCTTAAGGCCTCGCGGGCTGCAACAACAAAAAACGACGCCTCTTTATTTGGTTGTCTCTCCAAATCGGGGTACCCCCGAAAATGGTTGGTGTCCCTTTGGTTTCCCCTTCAAACCAATCGCGATCTCAAAGGGGCTCCCCAAACAAACGCACACCCATTTGGCCGTGGGTCAAAACTACGTACGCAAAATGGAACCCTGGCAAACGGAAACATGGACTCAAACCTGCGGTCCCCTGGAGGTCTAACTTTGACCCACAGCCATTTGACGTTTGTTTTTCTCTCTCTCTCTCTCTCTGACCTTTCTGGATCACACGTTGCTCTCACCCCTTTTTGGCACCACGCTTGCCCCGCCTGCCGCCAAACCTGCCCCAAGTCCCGACCGAAAGACGCGTAGTCCTGGCTTCGACGAGTCCGCCGCCGGTTTCGGTTGGGGGGGATGGAACTTCAGGCAGTTCCCAAAAAACTGTGGCTGTCCGTGTTCTGATCCCCTGCTACAAGTGCTTGACTTGTGGGTTGAATTCAGAGACTCAGACCAACTAAAGCCCCAAGTTGAACCGGACGAATCTCCGGCTTCGCCTCGCCGAGCCAGGCAAATGCCCATGAAACATGGGGGCCTGGAGGGGAGGTCGGTGAGGCGGTTCCCCCCCCCCCTTCGGAAGGGTTTCCGATCCCCCGACGCCTGCAGCTCAAAGTCCTTGGACGCGGTGACCTGGCAGGTCAAAAATGTGTACCCCAAATGGGAACCCTGGTAAATGGAAAGACATGGACTCAGACCTGTGGCCCCATGGCGGCGGTTTTGGCGCATCGCCGCAGCGCTCGCGGCGTCCGAGGCCCCGGCCAGGTCGTCGTGGATGTCGGCTTTCTGCAGCATCAGCCGCCCTTCGCGCAGCTGCCTCGCGAAACACGCTTGGACGGCAAGAGAAGAGAGAAACGCGCAGCTCGTCGGACAGTCGCAAAAATGAAAGAAAAGAAGAAGAAGAAAAAATAAAACGTCTGACACAAAGCACTTTTGAACCCCTGGTTCTTGTAGAGGGTAAATGGGAAACTACCCTCAACCACCCAACCACCAATCTAAACCGCCAATCAGTGGGAGGCTGATTCACTGGACAGGAATCCAACCAGCTCACCAGCATCGATAAGGCTATCCATCGGGGGCTGGGCAGCTGCAGCAGCGCGTCACTCGCTCGCCTGGGTTGAAGGCGATGTCCAAAACAGTGGTTGTTTAAGATTGGTTTAAGGTTGGTTTTCCCTCTTGCATGGAACACACACACACACACACACCTGCGCGCGCGCACCCCTGAATTCTGGCTTCTTTGTTCGCAGGCCCAGCGGCCCAGCTATGCGCCCTAAGGCTGTTGCCGCAGGCTGAGCAGAACGTCGTGAGGCAAGCAAGCGGCAGCCACGCTGCCCTGACCAAAGAAAGCCATCCGAAAGCCCTCTGGCAAGAAACATTTGTTGTGTAAAAACTGCACAACCCTTAGACAAGCTCCTTCTTTGTTGTTTCCCCAACCTCCCCTTGCAGGTGGCATCCAACTCGTCCTGCAACTCTGATTTGTTCTATTCGCCACTCTCGGGCCCTTTCCCTGTTGAATTCGCCTCCTTTGGCTGGCAGCATCCAACATCTTCCCCCCCCCCTCCCCAGGCCTCCAGCTCGATCAGAGCTTGCAAGCTACCCACCTAAACCGGAGGAAACTCCGCGGGAACTCAGAGGCTGACGTTGTAAAGGGGAACAGGAACCAACAGGGGGAATGAGGGAATGACCCCCTTGTTGCTACATCCCTTGTAGTTTTCTAACGATTTCCTCTTTGTTGACCAGTCCTTCACTTTTGGAGGGCCCCATCAACAAAGCGGGTGAATGAATCCGGGGTCAACATCATGCAACCCAACTCGGGGATCGCAACAACCCCTTTCAAATATCTCAAAGACTTCTCACTTTGCTGCGGAGACCTCTCTCTCTCTCTCTCGGCTCCCTGCAAGACTCGCTATCGTCTTGGAATCCATTTGCCTCAAGTTGCGTGCCACACCAACGCCTCCGTTCTGTCCCCCTTGAGGCCCCAGCGCCCCGCTCGCCTGGCGGACAGCTTGAAAGCCGCTTGCATTCCCAAGCCGAATTCCCCTTCAAGGTCTGTCAAAAAATGACCCCAAAGTTGATGTGTTCCTGATTTCCCAAGATGCAAAGGGCCCGCACACACACACACACACAGAGACAGACACACAGACAGACAGAGACACAGACACAGACACAGACACAGACACAGACACAGACACAGACACAGACACAGACACAGACACAGACACAGACACAGACACAGACACAGACACAGACATAGACACAGACACAGACACAGACACAGACACAGACACAGACACAGACACAGACACAGACACAGACACAGACACAGACACAGACACAGACACAGACACAGACACAGACACAGACACAGACACAGACACAGACACAGACACAGACACAGACACAGAGACAGAGACAGAGACAGAGACAGAGACAGAGACAGAGACAGAGACAGAGACAGAGACAGAGACAGAGACAGAGACAGAGACAGAGACAGAGACAGAGACAGAGACAGAGACAGAGACAGAGACAGAGACAGAGACAGAGACAGAGACAGAGACAGAGACAGAGACAGAGACAGAGACAGAGACAGAGACAGAGACAGAGACAGAGACAGAGACAGAGACAGAGACAGACACAGACACAGACACAGACACAGACACAGACACAGACACAGACACAGACACAGACACAGACACAGACACAGACACGGACACGGACACGGACACGGACACGGACACGGACACGGACACGGACACGGACACGGACACGGACACGACACACGGACACGGACACGGACACACGGACACGGACACGGACACGGACACGGACACGGACACGGACACGGACACGGACACGGACACGGACACGGACACAGACACAGACACAGACACAGACACAGACACAGACACAGACACAGACACAGACACACACATTTTCGATATTCCCCTTGATCTCCACGAGACACTTGGGCTCGACACGGGGCCTCATCCAAATGCAATGCCCCATGCAACCTGGGCGAAATCTATCAGCTGCACTACAGTCTCAGAATGGGCACCGAGTTTTGAGAGGTTTTAAGTAGACACCCAAATCAAACCAACTGGATTGGGAGAGGCACCCAACTCGTGTTGAGTCGCACGCCTAAACCCAATCCGCCAATCCCCTTCATGCCGACGGGAAAAGACTCGTGTCGAAGCTGGGAAGCCGACAGGGACACAAAGCGGGCAGATGCATTGAAGAGAATGCCGCCTCCACTTTCAGTGCCTGCGGAAATCTCCGAAAGACATGCGATCCCAGTCCGGTCCAGTGCAACCAGCCTGACATGAGGCATTCTGCATCGCTACCATCCTGGCACTCTCGACGTTGGGGGCAACCCCTAAATGAGTTCAGACAACGGAGTCCAGCATGCCACGCACATGCTTCTCCTTTCCTAGCTGGAGCCCATCTGGGCGGCTCAAAATTGAAGAGCTGGGGCACGCCGCAGGTTTCAGCTTTTGCTTCCATTTACCATCCATTGATTTCAGCCACAGCCATGTGGCCGCACCGGACAAAAAGAAGAAGAAAGACTTCGAGTGCTCCCACTTTCTCAGGGCTTCCACTTCGCCGCGTCTGAGGCTTGCACCACGGCCGTTGACCCGAAGCCGTCGATGGCACCTAACGCCTCGGCGCAGGCGGTGAAGCTGCCAAGTGGTGGGGAACCTTTGGTGGACACCAGGGGCATCTTATGTGAGGTGTGTCTTCTTTTGGGGGAATTTCAGGCATGGTGGTAATTCCTTCTGAAATTCTCTCCTGAAGCAGTTGCCGCAAAAAATGAGGTACCCGGTACCCTCAAAAGTCACAGCATGTCCACACTTGAGGATGTTCAGAAGGGCACTGCCACGACATCTACCAATGTAAGCCCCGGACTACCAGTCGGCCAATTGCCTCGAGCAAGCAAAATGGCCGAGATATGTCTTGCAACTTTTGATCCTAGCAACTGGCAATTCAATAGCTGTGCACTGCTTCCTGCTTGCGTTCTCGGCCAAAAACGCTTGGAACTAGTCATATTTCTAAGGGGAGTCAATGGCCTAACGGGTGTGCCACCTAAGTAGCGTTCCATGGCGTGTCAGGCGTTTCCACCGCACCTCAGGCTCAGCATCTGCATCAGAAGGCAGTTTGCCACCTGGGGAAAAGCGGCCGAAACCGAGACCAACTCGAAGCCAGCACCATGCCTGCGACGTGTCTGGGCACGAAAGCTTGGAAAGTCAGAAGGATAAGAACCACCTGCATCAGGTCAGTGCTCCGATCTCTGCAAGGCTGGCAAAAAAGAAAAAAACTGAGGCCCTTGGGCCTAAGGCGATTCGATCACTGGAGCGAAGCGACTGAGAGACAAGTTTTTCCAAGTACTTGACGCATGTGTTTGAGTTGTTTGGAGTTGTTGAGCCGTTGAGTTCATAGCGTGTTGAGTTGTTTGGAGTTGTTGAGTTCAGAGCCTGTGTTTGAGTGCACGCTGCTTCTCGCGGAGCGAGGGCAGTTTTTTGGCCAACAGTAGGGTGTCGAAGTGCGACTTTGCGGCGTGCATCCGGCTTTTTCGATTTGTCGCGAATATCATAAAGAAAAAGACACGATTCTATAGCTCAGTGGCAGCACAGTTGCACTTGAAATCAATGGTTCGCAGGCCCAGCGTGTTTGGCTGCGCAAGGCATGGGCTTTTGCGCTAAGCTCTAAATCGACTCGGCTGTTTTGCGCTCTGCTTGCCTCGGGCTGTCTTGGGTTTTGTTGCTGGAAGGCTGCTGCGTGTCTGGGGATTCGCCTTGTGTCTCTGTTTCGGGGGGGTTGTCTGCAAGCTCTCAGCTTTTGGGTTTCAGCACCACCCGGTGTGTTGGTCTGAGGGCCATGGGCTTTGCGGTTTTGCAGGAAGCAAGTCATTTGAAGGGGGGGTTGCGAGGCGCATGGCTTGAGAGGTGTTGTCCGCATCAACAATTCTCGAGCTGTTTGGCAGAAGGAGCGGCCGCTGAAATACGCGTGATCCTGTGACTGGTTGCTTTTGTGCTGCTCCTCAGCCAAGAGCGTCCGCTAGCATTACAATGAACCGGCCCAAAAGCAAAAGCGAGAAGCCCCTCGAAGAAGGACCACCCGATCTATGGATATTCTGCTTGTTTTGGGTAAGCTGCTCCTCCAAGAGCTCAATCCAAGGCCTCTCTTGGGCGCGCCCTCCACCCCATCGCATGCTCCCGCCGAGTGATAGTGCGGCGCTTTGGCCCGGCCAACGTCGTTTTAAAAGTGTCACCCTTGAACGTGCTCAAAACAGTGACCAATACCAAGAGATATTCGCTTTGATCCTGTCTCCCCGGTGATTCATCTTCCTATGCGCTCTCAATCTCTCTCGAGCCAGGATTGCAGCCGCAAGTTCAAGCTATGCTGAACAGTCTGTCAAGCTGACACATCCAAATATGCATGTCAAAATGGCCAAGCCAAGCAAAGACAAATGCTAGTGAACACACAAGCAGTCACAAGCAGGCCGACAAATGAGCCAGCCAGCAGAATACTGAGGGGCAGGATTCGAGAGTGTGTGTGTGTGTGTGATATGTTCGCCCATGCGCTTTTTTAGCCACTGAAAATCCCCCCTTTCCTTGGGCAGGTCCCCAAAAAGCCAACAAACCCAGTAACCAAAGACCATGGTAACACAGCACGCCGCTTCTTCGCTTGCCTGAAACAAAACCCACTCTGAACCCTTCCTGAGCCTTGAGTGTTTCCCAAGTTTTTTGGACCTTTCCTCAGGTGTCCCTTTACATCCACAAGGCTCCTTGAAGAATACAACTTGACCATTTGAAACTGTACTTTTTCCACTGAACTAAAACCGCCATTTGTGTTTTTTCTTTTGGGGGGATACGGGTAGTTTTCGGATGGATAATCCAAGATCTTAGCTAAGATCAAAAGAAACGTCGCTATGAGACACCAACTCCCTTCTGAGGGCAGCTCAAGCAACTCACGCCTTCTCATGCTCTAGGGTCTCCTTCTGGCCAGTGGTGAGGTACCTGCCGCAATACATGTGTTTGTGCCAACGGATCAAAAGAGGGAAAGTGGGATTTCCCCCTTGCTTTGGTTTTGTCTGGAACGAGGTATCCAAATCGAAGCTACCGGAGAAGCTACGAGAAGGGTTTAGATGCTATAGAAAGCAAAATATGATGTATCGCTCCCATTGAATAGACGAAGGGACAATGCCAGTGACATGCAACCCACTGAAAGCTATGCATGGATTTAACAACCGCACAAATGGTACATCATCGCAACCCTACCTGCCCCTACCCTACCCCCCTCTTTCCACCGCCAAGTAGAGGCAGCGCATAGCGCGCGTGCGCGTCGGGTCACTCCATGAACTCATGTATCCTCGCCAGCTTGGGCTCAGCAGAGGACCTAGGACGAGCAGTTGCCAGCCACACCTAGAACCTGTGTATGCGTATGTGTATGCGTGTACGTACGCACGTACGTCCGAAAAGTACGTTCGTATGAATGTATGTATGTATGCGTGTGTATGTATGTATGTATGTATGTATGTATGTAGGTAGGTAGGTAGGTAGGTATGTATGTATGTATGTATGCATGTATGAATGCATGCATGCATGCATGCATGCATGCATGTGAATGTATGTGTGGGTAGGTAGGTAGGTAGCTAGCTAGCTAGGTAGGTAGGTAGGTAGGTAGGTAGGTAGGTAGGTAGGTAGGTAGGTAACTAGCTAGCTAGCTAGCTAGCTAGGTAGGTAGGTAGGTAGGTATGTATCCGTGTACGTGTATGCGTATGTGCATGCGTATGCGTATGTGAATGCCTATGCGTATGTGCATGTGTATGTGTATGTGTATGTGTAGGTATGTGTAGATGTGTACAGGTATGTAATTTATACTTATTTTCGTAGGTAGGTAGGTAGGTAGGTAGGTAGGTAGGTAGGTAGGTATGTATGTATCTATGTGTGTATGTATGTAAGTATGTATGTACGTACGTGTGTATGTATGTATGTATGTATGTATGTATGTATGTATGTATGTATGTATGTACGGACGTACGTATGTAATGTAATGTAATGTAACGTAACGTAATGTAATATAATGTAATGTAATGGTAATGTAATGTCATGTGATGTACTGTAATGTAATGTAATGTATGTAAAGTATGTAATGTGTGTAATCTATTTGATGTATGTGATGTATGTAATGTATGTGATTCATGTAATGTATATAATGTATATAGTGTATGTAACATATGCTATGTATGTTATGTATGTTATGTATGCTACTTATGTTATGTATGTTATGTATGTAATGTATGTAATGTATGCAATGTATGTTATGTATGTAATGTATGTAATGTATGTAATGTATGTAATGTATGTAATGTATGTAATGTATGTAACGTATGTAACGTATGTAACGTATGTAATGTATGTAATGTATGTAATGTATGTAATGTATGTAATGTATGTAATGTATGCAATGTATGTAATGTATTTAATGTATGCAATGTAATGTAATATAATGTAATGAAATGTAAATGCAATTTATGTAATGTATGTAATGTATGTAATGTATGTAATGTATGTAATTTATGTATGTATGTGTGTATGTATGTATGTATGTATGTATCTATCTATCTATGTATGTATGTATGTATGTATGTATGTATGAATGTATGCATGCATGCATGCATGCATGCATGTGAATGTATGTGTAGGTAGGTAGGTAGGTAGGTAGGTAGGTAGCTAGGTAGCTAGGTAGCTAGGTAGCTAGGTAGCTAGGTAGCTAGGTAGCTAGGTAGCTAGGTAGCTGGGTAGCTAGGTAGCTAGGTAGCTAGGTAGCTAGGTAGCTAGGTAGCTAGGTAGCTAGGTAGCTAGGTAGCTAGGTAGCTAGGTAGCTAGGTAGCTAGGTAGCTAGGTAGCTAGGTAGGTAGGTAGGTATGTATCCGTGTACGTGTATGCGTATGTGCATGCGTATGCGTATGTGCATGTGTATGTGTATGTGTATGTGTAGGTATGTGTAGATATGTACAGGTATGTAATTTATATTTATTTTCGTAGGTGGGTAGGTAGGTAGGTATGTATGTATCTATCTATGTATGTATGTATGTAAGTATGTATGTACGTACGTGTGTATGTATGTATGTATGTATGTACGTACGTACGTATGTAATGAAAGGTAATGTATTTTTTTTAGTAATGTAATGTAATGTAATGTATGTAAAGTATGTAATGTATGTAATCTATTTGATGTATGTGATGTATGTAATGTATGTCATTCATGTAATGTCTATAATGTATATAATGTATGTAACGTATGCTATGTATGTTATGTATGTTATGTAAGCTATGTAGGTTATGTATGTTATGTATGTTATGTGTGTAATGCATGTATGTAATGTATGTAATGTATGTAATGTAAATATGTATGTAACGTATGTAATGTATGTAACGTATGTAATGTATGTAACGTATGTAATGTATGTAATGTATGCAATGTATGTTATGTATGTAATGTATGTAATGTGTGTAATGTATGTACTGTATGTAACGTATGTAACATATGTAACGTATGTAACGTATGTAATGTATGTAATGTGTGTAATGTATGTAATGTATTTAATGTATGTAATGTAATGTAATATAATGTAATGTAATGTAATGTAATTTATGTAATGTATGTGATGTATATAATGTATGTAATGTATGTAATTCATGTATGTATGTGTGTATGTATGTATGTATGTATGTATGTATGTATGTATCTATCTATCTATCTATCTATGTATGTATGTATGTATGTATGTATGTATGTATGTATGTATGTATGTATGTATGTATGTATGTATGTATGTATGAGTGGGAGTGCTATGTGTATGTGTATGCGTGAGTGTATGTGTATGTGTATGGATTTGTGTATGTCTACGTGTATGTGTATGACTATGTGTACGTATATTATGATTTGTACGTGTATGTGTAGGCATGTGTGTGTGTGTGTCTGTGTCTGTGTCTGTCTATGTGTACTTGTATGTTCATGGACATGGATATGTATGTACGTGTACGCATATATATCTATATGTATGTACGTCTCCCTGTCTGTCCGTATGCAGAGATGCAGGAAGGCACGTGTATGTGTATACATGCCTTATATATATATATACTGACAAAACGCTCTTCGAAACCCACTTGGTCCACAATTGGAAAGCATTACTTCCCAGGAGAAGAACTGAGGAGTGAGCACTGAGAGGTATCCTCGTCGAAGTGCGAACAGCCTGCACCATGTGCAACATGGGGGATGTGTCAAAACTAGGGACCCTCTCAGAAAACAGCGGAGAGCAATAGGAGAAAGCCAAAGCAAACCAAAAGAATCAAAGACAACTGAAAGGAAACCAAACAAAACAAACCATTTGGACGCGGGTCAAAACCAATGGTACCATTTTGGGGTAGGTGCACCACCGTCCACCCATTTTAGTCCATTTTAGTGGGGATTCGGATGTTCACTGGGGGTACAGGATTTTGACCCATGGCCATGTGGAGGAGTACATAGTTTTGACAGGCCACACGCATGCGGCTGCAAGCCTCTCCATGATCTCCTGTGTCTTTTCATCAGAGACGGCCTGAGTCTCAGTGCTGAAAACGGCCACAGTCGTACCCTTGCAATGAGTGCTAGATCGCACTTCCCAAAAAAAACTGGCCACAGTCGCTGTACCTCTTCGAATTGCTGCAATGAGTGCTGCCAGATGGCGCTCGGGCAGCAAAAAATCACCCCTGAGCGCCAGACAGCGTTGCCGGGGATGTCTGCCACCTTGGAGCGATCGATCGTTGCGCGCACGCGCCTTTTCAGCTTGGGACTGCGGCCCTTGGAATCAAGCTGAAGAAGCAAAGCGTCCGACTTCTTCTTTACTTGGAAACTATGTCTATATATATATATTGTCAGATAGTCACCGCGTCACCAGTATGACCAAGACATGTGGAAGCCTTCAGACAGCAAGAATGAAATGTTGAGATTAGACTAGTGGTACGAAACGAACCACGAAGCAGTGTTGGGACATTCCACCCCTTCCCGCAAAGATCTCCACGCTCAACCTTTCACTTGGGCCTTCACAGCCCGGAAAGCATCTCCCTTTAGGCGCCTATAGTTGCCGAACTCCAACTAGCAGGACAGCTCTTGCGCGGTGCTCTGGATTCGTGAGGTGCTTCATACCCTCCCTTTACACTGCAAAGAGAGTTCGCTTCATGGAAAGCAATGCAAACTTCATGGGATAGGT